TTTGTATAACACATGTGCATGCTCTATTCAAGTTAGGTTTGAAATTGTTGTATCTTTGTCAAAGGTTGAGATCAATTTGTAGAGAGCTCAAGGATAAATGCAACAGTTATGTATATCTTAGAAAAGTATTGTACGTATAATAGTGACAAACGAGTTTTATGTAATTGACAAAATGGATGTTGAATATCAATGTGAGAAGTCATAAAAATCAAAGATAAAAATGGAAAAAGAAAAGTTCCCACCCTGTGGCTAAAGCTGGAGTATGAAATATGAATATTCAGTACTACAGCAGCACAACACGTGCACGGATGAAAAGGTTATGATATAATCAAAAAATAATATTATGACAAGATTTTAATGTTGTTGGATTATATATGGCAAGAAAAATTTATTAAATTTATTAATAGTTAAATACATAAATTAAGTATATGGTTCAATTTTTAAAATTACTATTAACACTTAAAAAAATTATTATATCAAACTAGTGTATGAGACCTTAAAATTGTTTAAATTAATTAATTCTTAAATGTGAAAAAATTAATTAAAAAATAACTTAATTATATCGACTAAGTCATCTACCTCAACGCCAATGGACTTCTCATTATCGCGGGCTCGGCATGTGTATAATTTCATCAAATTTATCCCATTTTATGAACGTCGAGAATTACATTCCAGTAAAAAATTTGTTTACAACTATCGAGAGATGTCAACAGAAAACAAAACGCTTAAATGACCGCCTCCATTCTGCCTTTACCTGCAAAATGGTTAAGCTAAGAAATATACAAATGGAAACCCAAACAACCGCCATACAAAACGCTATGGCCTTTTCCTTTAATTTAAAAAGGAGTTACAGAACATTAATAATTTATTGGTCTGGGTAAAAAAAAATTTAATCTCCCCATTAATAGTGATAATTCTGAAGTAAACAATGCAATCTTTTTTTTCGAAAATACTTCTAGATTTTCAAGTATCAAAGTAATTCAAGATCTTAACAGTGCAATAACTCATAACGCTGCCCAAACCAAGGTTTTAAAAACCGAATCGGACCGATTGGTCGAATCGATATTCAGTAATATAAACAGTTTGATTTTATCTTTTAAACCATTTAAAGATCAAACCGTTTAAAAACCAATAAAAACCGTTCGACCGAACGGTTCAATGCTTGAGAACAAAAGCTTGAGAGATTTGTCCCCCATGAAGCTTGAACTTGCAACCTTGAAGTCCCTTTAGTTTATTCCAACCCTCTGCCACCAGGACAACGCACTACATTTATCAATAAATGCTTGAAATTTTATTTAATCTATTTTTAAAATCATAATTATTTAAAGTTTGTTCATAAGAATACTCGAACTTGTGATCTTTGGTATGAGAAAACAACCACCTACCATCGCACCCAATGGATATCTTGTGAAATACTTTGCAAAATAATATATTTATACTATATTAATGAACCGGTGGTTTTACCGGTTAAACCAATTAAACCGGTCAAACCATGAACCAGAGGTCAAAATGGTTTGACCTCCGGTTCGGGTTTTAAAACATTGGCCCAAACACCCAATAATTTCGGTTTATGTCTTTTGTGGCAAGAGTTGACTGCACTTATCGGGATCGGACGACCTTGTTTGTTAGGCCCCAATGCATGATATATTTGGGAGGCGTTAGTATAGCACCTTAAAACCCAAACATCAGCGGTTATATTCGTAAATCCTTCAAAAATTTTTTTTTTATGGACTTTCTTTGTTATCAGCAAAGAAGACATAAATTTTACTTAGAAATATTCTTTATTTATATATAACTCTAGTTAAAGGCAAGTTATTCATACCATACTATTATTTATTGTGATTTAATAATAGAATTATTTATATTTTTAATTACAAATTTAAAAATTAATCTATACAATCTTTGTATATAAAAAAAAATCATGTACTAATAAAAAATTTATAAGAAATTATCTCTTTTTAACTAAATCATTAAACACAACATAAAGTTCAGGCTGAAAAAAAAAAAAAAAACACCACTACAATCTGGTTTTGGTTTATATTATTCTCTAATAATCACTATAAGCAATAAAATTCTTATGAATGAATTTAGAAAAAAAAAAAAAAGTGTTTACTGTATGAATCCAGATAGCTGAAACTAAAAGTCAAAGACAAATATATCTAAAATTCTAAACTTAAATCTCAACACAATATTCATCATATATGAGGCTTTTTGGACTTTTCTCCAGTCGACTCTTAATTGCATTACGGAATTTGAAGTTTCGCACCTCTACTTGGGATTTAAGCTTTCTTGGCAAAGAGATTTAATTTTTCACGTTTTAAAAAAGGAGTGCAATGCATTGCATTACGGATTTGCATTCCTTGACTAAATTGCTCACTCAGTTGTTATAAATAGCAGAGTAAATTTCATCTCAAAACATATATCAACCTTCCAAACAACACAGAACAGCATGGATTTCCTTCTTTCATTTTCAACAACTCTGACAACCGGAATCTTGGTCTTTTTGCTCTTTATTTGTAGTTTCTTAGCCCTTTCAAGGCGAGGAAATGCTCAAAAGAAGAGAATGCCACCACAAGCTGGTGGTGCATGGCCGATAATCGGCCACCTCCCCTTGTTAGGGGGGCCAACACCACCTCACAGAATCTTGGGTGAAATGGCAGACAAGTATGGTCCTGTTTTCACTATCAAACTCGGTGTTCATCGTGCTTTGATAGTGAGCGATTCGGAAGTAGCAAAAGAATGCCTAACTACAAATGATAAGGCGTTCGCTACACGCCCGAAGTCAGTCTCCATGGAGCTTTTGGGCTACAATTACGCCATGTTTGGCTTCAGCCCTTACGGTTCCTATTGGCGCCACGCACGTAAAATTGCCACACTCGAGCTTTTATCAAATCACCGGCTTGAGACGTTCAAACATGTACGAGAATCGGAGATGAAGGCATGGATAAAGGAAATACACCTCATATGGGAAAATAACAAAGATGGTTCCCATAATGTGTCGATGGAGATGAAGAGATGGTTCGGAGACCTCACCCTGAATGTAATTTTCAAAATAATTGTCGGGAAGCCTTTCGTCGCATATTTGCAGAAGGATGAAGAGAAGGATCAATGGCAATCAACAGCGCGAGAATTGATCGACTTCTTGGGGAAGTTCTTGGTTTCTGATTCCCTTCCATTTTTGAGATGGTTGGATATTGGAGGACAAGAAAAGGCAATGAAGAAGGTATCAAGAGAGCTTGACGTTGTTGTTGAAGGATGGTTAGAAGAGCATAAGAAGAAAAGAGCTACTGGAGACAAAAAACGAGAGGAAGACTTCATGGACGTGATGCTATCAATTCTCGATAGGGGAGAGTTTCCTACAGAAATTGATGCTGATACAGTCAATAAAGCTATGTGCTTGGTATGCATTTCACAAACAATTTCTTAATTAGTTGCCACCCAAGTTAGATTAATTAACATCAACATTTATTATTATTATTATTATTATTATTATTATTATTATTTTGGATTGCCTGATCAATGTTATCTATTGCGATTTACAGGTTCTTGTCTTGGCAGCCTCAGATACCACGACAGTTACCCTAACATGGGCACTTTCTCTTCTCCTCAATCATCCTGAAAAACTGAAGAAGGTTCAACATGAACTTGACACCAACATCGGTAGAGAGAGACAGGTTAATGAATCCGATGTAAAGAACCTGACCTACCTCCAAGCCATCATCAAGGAAACGCTGCGTTTATACCCAGCAGCGCCATTGCTAGTGCCTCATGAGTCCATGGAAGACTGCATTGTTGGGGGCTACCATGTTCCAAAAGGCACACAACTGTTTTTTAATGGCTTCAAGATTCAAAGGGATGCCAGAGTATGGCCAGATCCTGATGAGTTTCAGCCCGAAAGATTTCTGACAACACACAAAGATGTTGATGTTAGGGGGCAGAGTTTCGAACTAATACCATTTGGAAGTGGTAGAAGAATGTGTCCAGGAGTCTCTTTTGCTCTTCAAGTTCTGCAACTCACACTTGCTACTTTCCTTCATGGATTTGAAGTGGCAGTTCCGTCAAATGAAATGGTTGATATGAGTGAAGGCTCCGGATTAACCAACGTCAAAGCCACTCCGCTTGAAGTCCTCATATCTCCTCGTCTCCCTCAACATCTGTATGGATAAACCAGTATGAGAAGTTTCATTACAAAAAGTAAATAAAAGCCAATTGGCTATTGTCCTTGCTTATATAACGGCGATGCCAGACCATATCACCTTTTTATAGAAGACCATATCACCTTTTTATAGAAGACCATTTCACCTTTTTATAGAAGACCATTTCATATGTTATGAATGTATCTTGTATTGCAACAAAATAGATCAAGTTAATAAATTGAACTTTTCTCTTTAACTAAACTGTTATTTTAGTGGCTTTTTTTTATTACCATAGAGATGCCACTCATGAGATATGCAATAAGAACTCAGCAATCCCTTCTCTTTACCTACACCTAAGTCTGTTACGTCTGCCATGTAAAAAATTATTGAAGGTGACATCTTTTTTTTTGGTACTAGACTTTATATTTTGGAATTAAAGTATTAAACAAAACTAAGCAATTGACAGAGTCATTTCGTCGAGCATCTTGCAGGCATTTCCAGCAAGAGTTATATTTGAAACAATTTCGCGTCTAAAAATTACTCAAAATAAAAACAATAACAGATTATGTATCTAAATTAGGG